CGAGCTCGTGAGTTCACGAGCCATGAGCTCGCGGACCGAGCCGAGCCGAGTTCATGAGCGGCTCGTGAACTTGTGATTTTTTTAAATTTTAAATTTTTTATTTTTTGGTAAATTTGGACTTTTTTTTTAAAAAAAATAAATACTTTTTGAGCTCGTGGGCTCGACAAGCCGAGCCTACTCGGCTCGGGCTCTGGTTCGTCATTTGACGAGCCCGAGCTGCCGACGAGCCGGGTTTTGACGAGCTGAGCGGCTTGACACCCCTAGTTGGATTAGCAGGGACACTGCAAAACTCACGTGATGGTTGCTTTGGATTTACTGACATTCTTTGCTAAATTTTGTGGAGATTTTTGGAATGGAGACAAAACTTCATTATCGTACACCTACATGAATTTCTTGAACTTCCTTTTCTCTAGCACATTGTAAAAAGTTTCAATTTTCAATGGTACTCTCAAAAGGTTAAATTCTTTGATGGCCACCGAACTTGTGTCACATTGGTCATCCAATTTGATTTTGTTTCATTGTAGTCACACAACTTCATACTTAGTGTAACATTGACCACCTAATTTTATTTTGTTTCATCATGGTCATCCAACTTCATACTTAATTTCAATCAAGTCACCCGATACCTTATATAACATAATCAAATTGGGTGGCTTATGCGACACTAAGTATAAAGTTGTGTGGCCATGGTTAAAAAAGTCAAATTGGATATATGAGGGAAGCATTTGAAGTTTTACGGAGGTTGGTGGCAGGATACGAGTCTTTGGGGGCAGGATAGTATTACTTATGTTCATATTTTTGGAATTTGTGCTCGTCTTGGTGATTTGACTTTGGGCCAACAAACTCACAGCACAATGCTTAAAGCTGGCTTGAACTGTTTGTTGGTAGCGCAGTCATAGAAATGGATGGAAAATGTGGTAAAATTTAATCCATCAGAGAAGTTTTTGAAGGGTTGGAATCTAAAAATCTGGTCTCATGGACAGCAATATTGAGTGCTTATTTACAGAATCAGTGCTTTGAAAAGTATTGAACCTATTTCTGGAACTGAAACTCGAGTATATTGTGCCAAATGAGTACATATTTGCAGTGCTCTGGCTTGTCAGCACTTGGACACATGCATCATGAAGATGGGGATGAATAACCACTCTATTGTAATCATCGCTTTGATCCATATGTATTCAAGGTGTGGCCTGATTGAAGATGCTATAATCGTCTTCACTAAATACGACTTATTGAGATGTTATATCTTGGAATTTATGATAACTAGTTATTTGCATCACGAGCTTGGTAGGGAAGCTTTGAATGTGTTTCAATAGATGCTAGCAGCAAAAGAACAACCAAAATATGTAACCTTTGTTGGGGCACTCTCTGCTTGTGGCTTCTTGGGAAAAGTAGAGGAAGGATTCTACTCTTTGAACCATATGATGAGAAAGAGTGGCATTGAACCTGGGTTGGAGCATTGCACCTGTATAGTTGGACTTCTGGGTAGAGCAAGGCTTGAGGATGCTGAGAATTTCACTCAATCAATCCCAATAAAATGGGAGATTGTTACCTGGAGAAATTTGCTCAATGCTTGTTATGTTCATCAGAATTATCGTTTAGGAAAGCAAGTTCCAGAAACTGTGTTGCATCTGAACCCTGAAGATGTGGGAACTTGTATCCTTTTGTCATACATGCATGCCAGGACAAAGAGGTGGGATGAAGTAGTGGCGATGCGGAAGTTAATGAGAGATAGAAACATAAAGAAAGAACCTGGATTGAGCTGGACAGAAATAAGAAATGATGCTTATGATGACAACGAACATCTAGAGGCTGTTCTTGTTCATGAAAAAGTAAAGGAGTTGTTGGCTGAAATTAAACCACACGGTTATGTTCTGGCTATAGCTTGTGAATTGCATGATGTGGAGGAGGAACAGAAACAAGGTTGCCTAAGTTATCACAGTGAGAAGTTGGCTATCGCATATGCTCTTATGAAAACATCCCAAGAGGCACCTCTTCGCATCATAAAAAACACAAGAACGTGTGATGATTGCCACTCTGCCGTTAAATTTGTCTCAAAGGTCACAAAGAGAATGATAATTATGCGAGATGTGAACTGTTTTCATAGTTTCAGGGACGGATGCCATTCCTATACAGACTACTGGTGACATATGGAATCAGATTAGGGAAAAATATTTCACAATGTATCATGGAGGCAACTTAAACCAGCCAGCTTGCAATGGAGGGCATCACCTATAGCTCAGTCGAGGTGATTTATACTGCTAGGTGTAGGATAATTTATTACTTTAAATCACTAGATCTTTCATGTTAAATCATCAAGAAATTGAAGAACTATCGTGGAAGCGTACTTGAATCAAACTTGGTTATTTGCAATAATTGAATCCTACGGTATAGTCTTCCAAATCTACACGCAGTCTTCTTTTTCTCTATGTGATGGGATGCAGAAGATAGTAAATAATACGTACTCTGCATGTGATTCAGGGACCATATATATATATACACACATATATACGCCCTTTTGACCTAATTCGGTCCATCATGAAATTAGGGTCTTGGGCCTGGTCTTTACACATAAAATAAATCCATACTTTAATTGGATGCATAATAGCCCAAAATTGAAGTCTTATTAGATCACTTTTATCTGGGCTTAACTTGATTTGATAGCCTTTAATTTAAGTGGAAATTACACTCACACATGTTTTTTAACCTTTCAATTCAAAAATAAGATTTAAAAGTTTTTTATTCAAAAATCATATTATAATTTAAATTTTTAATATTAATGATAATATTATAAAATTAAATTAATTCACATACTCACCCCACTCTGGCTTCTAACCCTGATATTCACTCCCAAACCATATCACTTTCCTTCCATTTTCTTTGTCTCTCTCTCAACCTCTCTTCTCTCTTTCTTCTTCTTCCATCAAAGACGAAAGAACATCCTTCGTCAGTGCCAGCATCGGCTCTATTCATTAAAAGAGCTAAATTTGATTTACCAAACAATAATCTGATTCCAAAACCTATGCTGCCTATTTATCGCCCCACTCCAGCTTCTAATCTCCGTGCTGAAGGTTTGATTCTTGGAAGGTCCATATATAAGCGAATACGAACAGACTTAGCTTCGGCCATATAGTACAAAACCCAGACTCAGCACTTTCTTTCAATTTGCTACCAAGCTATTTATTTATTGTTGGTGTTGTTGTAGTAGTGTATCTGGGCATGGGGTAGTTTTGGATCTAGTTTTGGGGGTTGGGGTGGTGCTAGTAATGACGGTGGTGATATGTGCATATGGTGGTTGTAGTAATTTGCAATTTGCGATGATGATCTATGTGTGTTGTGTGTGACGTGTACGGAGATGTTATTGGTTCTGGTGTGGTAGATAATACATGCAATGTTGGTGTTGGGATGATGATGGTGCATCCTTGGTCAGTTTTTTTGTTTTGTTTTTTTGGATGGCAGTTATGATGCAATTAGTGTTTGTGGTGGTCACAATGATTTAGGCGATGGTGTTGATGCAACCATCGTGGTGATATTTAGTGGTGGTGTTGTTGTCAACATCGTGTTGCGGTGGTAGTGGTGTTTGCTTTGGCGGTGATTATGGTGCCAATTTTGGGCTGCAGCAGTGGTGTAGTGCAAGCGCGTTGTGTGCTGATGATTTGTGACCAAGATTGATGCTGGATCGGGATCGGTGATGGGGTCTTTGGTTCATGTGATCAACTATTTGGATTAATTATTAAACTTTGACCTTAAACTTCGATAATTTGTGACTAAAAAATAATCTACGACCAATAAATTTGAAAATATGTGACATGTGACCTATGACCTCAAATAATCATTGACCTATAAAATTTTTGAGTTGTGACCACGAAATAGTTTGTGATCAATTAATTCGATGATATGTGATCAGTAAATAAATCTGTAACCTATAATTATGAATCTGTAACCATTAATCGTATAATTGTGATTTTGTTATATTTATTTAATAAATATTTTTAATTAATTAAATATATACCTGAGTTTTGAATTTTTAAACTATCCATTTGATTTTTGAATTTGTGTAAATAATACACCCGAATTATGAATTTTTCCTTTAATTTAATACACAATTATTCACACATATAAGTCCATCTATTGATTAAAAAATCCTTACAATCTCCCACTTGGGCTATATGTGTCACCTTATAATTGTGCATTAAATATAACCTTATGAGTACTCAAAATCTTGATATCATTACTGAATGCATCCCCAAACAATCCCGTCCTTCAATCATATCAATATAGGATCAAAGCGATTTTCGCTAATTTTATGTAGCTAAACCCATCAATGGTCACGTATATCGATATAATCAAATGACATGGATCAAGTATGGATATGTAGCATGAAAATTTCATGTGATGTGATCTGTAACCTGCCTATTTCCAATTGGTTCATCTTAATACCTTAGTGAGATCATTTTAAACAAGTTCAGAGATAATAAACCTTATAATCGAAAATAACTTTAACCTTAAACCATATCCAAAATAACAGTATATGTGTCTAGCACAAAAATGCAAACTCCCACTGAAACTAAATATCCTCAAGAGACATTACATCCATATGAGCAGTGTGTTCATGAAAGACCTTGTATATCAATTCCTTAGTGAGCAGATCCGCAATCATAGATTTTGTCCCGATGTGCTCTATTGACACCTGTCCACTCTAAACTCTTTCTCTAACAGCCAAGAACTTGATATCTATATGTTACGATTTCGTCGAGCTCCTGTTGTTATTGGATTACAGCACTACTGATTTATTATCACAAAATATCTTAAGTAGTCTTTCTATACTGTCCACAATGCGTAGCCCAGTGACAAAGTTTTGCAGCCATATTTCATGATTTGATGCCTCATAATACACTATAAACTCCACTGCCATGGTGGAAGTAACTATGAGTGTCTGTTTAGCACTCTTCCAGGAAATAGCACCTCCATCAAGCAAGTAAATATAGGCTGAAGTAGATCTCCTACTATCTTGGCATCCCGCAAAATCGAAATCAGAATAACCGACGATCTCCAACTGATCCGATTTCCTATATATGAGCATGTAGTCTTTTGTTCTCTGTAAATACCACATGACCCGTTTGGCTACTTTCCAATGATCCATTCCCAAATTACTTAAATATCTCCCTAACATCCCAACAATAGACAGTATATGTGTCTAGCACAAAAATGCAAACTCCCACTGAAACTAAATATCCTCAAGAGACATTACATCCATATGAGCAGTGGGTTCATGAAAGACCTTGTATATCAATTCCTTAGTGAGCAGATCCGCAATCATAGATTTTGTCCCGATGTGCTCTATTGACACCTGTCCACTCTAAACTTTTTCTCTAACAGCCAAGAACTTGATATCTATATGTTACGATTTCGTCGAACTCCTGTTGTTATTGGATTACAGCACTGCTGATTTATTATCACAAAATATCTTAAGTAGTCTTTCTATACTGTCCACAATGCGTAGCCCAGTGACAAAGTTTTGCAGCCATATTTCATGATTTGATGCCTCATAATACACTATAAACTCCGCTGCCATGGTGGAAGTAACTATGAGTGTCTGTTTAGCACTCTTCCAGGAAATAGCACCTCCATCAAGCAAGTAAATATAGGCTGAAGTGGATCTCCTACTATCTTGGCATCCCGCAAAATCGAAATCAGAATAACCGACGATCTCCAACTGATCCGATTTCCTATATATGAGCATGTAGTCTTTTGTTCTCTGTAAATACCACATGACCCGTTTGGCTACTTTCCAACGATCCATTCCCAAATTACTTAAATATCTCCCTAACATCCCAACAATGTATGCTATATCTGGACACGTACAAACCTAAGCATACATTAGACTCCCTATAGCTGAGGAATAAGGAATCTTCTACATTTCTTT